GCCTTTTATCTCTGCATCACATCGTGTGCGTGTGTGTGTGTGTGTGTGTGTGTGTGTGTGCGTGTGTGTGTGGTCATAGTTGCATAGAAAGCTTCATTAGTCATTACTGGATGAGGGGAAAGCAGTAAAAACTAAAGTAAGCGCTCAGACATTTCCTAAAAAATCCCCTCCATCACGCCCACGTGACGATAAAGAAACGATTGATTCCCGCTGTAAACCACACACACACACACTCATTCACTCACTCACTCACTCACTCACTCACTCACTCACTCACTCTCAGGGGAACGCAGCTGGCATGTTTGGTGAAATGTCATGTTCGCTGTGCTCGTTTCTCACAGCCTGAAAATAAAAAGCTGTCGGTGTTGAACGCAACCATGACGGCAGGTCGGGACGACGCCGATGATGATGATGGCGCTCGTTCTTCGTCTGCGTCGTGAAACATCGACTGGATGTTGTTTGAATCTTCAGGACAAACATTTTGTCCGTTCTGTCCTCTCAACCTTCACTTCCTCTTCCTCACCTCTGTCCTTTCCTTTCTTCTTCTCTGTCGTTTCCTGTAACTTTTCCTCTCTTTATCTTTTTTTTTTTTTAGCATTTCAAACTATTTAATATATATTAATATAATAACATTAAATACATTAAATAATCACTGACAATTATGATAATGATCATATCATATTATTAGCTCTTTATCTTTCTTGGCTTGTTTCCTTTCCTCTCTTTCACCCTTGCTCTTGCTTTAACTTCCTCTCCTCTTTTGACTCTTATCATTTGAATTCAGAATGCTTTGCTCTTTTATTTCCTTGTTTCCATCTTTCTTCTTTCTTTCTTGTCCTTGTTTGTTTCTTCTTCCTCTGGTTTCCTCTTCTCTCTAATCCTTTCCTTCCTTGCAACCTTTGCTCTACATTTAATCCCCCCTAAGGTCCCCTCTGGTTACGTTTATTATTTTTCCTCTTTCTTTTTTTATGTATTTTATTTATTTATTTTTATCTACTTTTTGAGGATGAAACATTTTCAAATTTCGGACGAACGCCACAAACGCCGTCATGAGCTCGTGTCGACCTAGACTTCCCATGATGCATCGTGATCATGTTTATGAGAGCGCCGCATTCACACGATGATACGAGCAGTGATGCGCCTCACATGATGCTCATGCTCTACATTCCTGTGTGTGTGTGTTCCTTTTTTTTGTCTCAGTGGGGACGAATCACGCCATGCCCCTGTCTGGTTTGTGTGTACTTCCTCAGGCTCAGGTTAAGGTCATCCTCAAAGTGTGTGTGTGTTATTGACCCGCCCCATCAATACACCACTGTCTCCTGCAGGCCTAATGAAGCGCACACAGCTGCTTCTTGTGTGCTCAGCAGTATCTGTGAGGAAACTGAAGCCTGTGACATTGACTTCTGCTTAGCTGTGTGTGTCTGTCAGGGTGAGATTGTGTAGCTTTGCGTTAGCAGATGGTAACACTGCGTTTACCTCGGGGCCTCCCGTCACCTGAAATCACTTGGCGTGAAAAAAATTACAGACATTTGTGAAATTTGCAGGAAACTCTGCAAAAAAACTGGAAAAATAATCGTTTTTCCTGAAGCTCGTCGTGAAAATGAACATTTAAAGAATCAGTTTGTTGAAATTTATGTTAAAATGGTCGAAAGTGTTTGGCCACATTCACACACTGTGAATACAGATGTTCTCAGTCCCACTGCAGGTGTAGAAGTCGGGCAGAGAGCCGTGCAGGCTGCCCTCACTGGATTTGAGCGTGGTACCGGACGCGCGATCAGCTGATTTATCGTGGAATGCGGGAACGTTAGAGCGAGGTAGCCGAGTGCGTAAAAGCTGATGACTCCAACCCTGCTCACATTAACATCAGCATGCTGGGAGCTTCATGGCTGAGCAGCTCCTCTCCATAAAGTGCACTCTGAGTGGTCCAATCAGAAGAGAGAAGACTCCTTAAAGGGGCGGGGTCTAAATGTTTGAGGGTTGTTTCTGGGTGCTCGGGTGCATTTCCTGCTAAAACTAAAATAAAACCAAATAAAAGCAGACCTGCTGTTTCCCCCAGACAGGAGCTCAAAGATTAGACAGAAAAGCATTTGCAGGAATGCAGCCGGGCGGGAACGCTGCGACTGTTGGCAGCCCGCGAGAATATTCGAGTATTTCTCATAACTGGAGGTGAGCCGTGCTCAAGGCAAACGACACAAGCAGCGTCATACCGAAAGTGGGTGTGTGAGTGTGTATTCATATCTTTGTGGGGACCAAAAAGTGGAATTTTACTATACTTATGGGGACCAAAATCCAGGTCCCCATAGACTGAAAATGTGGTTTTAGTGTCAGGTTACAGTTGGGTTACGGTTAGGGAAAGTGGCTAGATGTCCCCACAAGATATGAATAGCCGACGTGTGCGTGTGTGTGTGTGTGTGTGCGTGTGTGTGTGTGCGCGCGCGTGTGTGCGTGTGTGCGTGTGTGCGTGTGCGTGTGTGTGTGTGTGTGAACACATTCTCCTGCTGGGACGAGCATCTGCTGCTTTCTGAGCACAGGAAGGGGAAGCCCCAACATGAACACACACACACACACACCCTGCAGTAGGAAGCATGAAGATGGAGATAAGACGCTCGGTTCTCTCGGCGAGTTTAACTCTCATGTGATGATGTCTCTCGTGCAGGAAACAAACGTGCCTTAAAGAACTTTAAGCGGCCCGCCCTGAGCCTGTGCAGGCAGCGCGGGCCGCCACGCTCCATCTGCAGACACTACACCCCTGCTACACCCAAACATTTAGGCTAATGATGCAGATTTTCTGAATGCACCAGCTGACCTCCGGCCTGATGAATCCACGGCTTGCAGCGCCGCTCGCTCGGTGAAAACTTTGATGATGATCTCAGCCTTACTCCATGTGGGAAGCCTGCAGGGTGATAGGCTGCTGACACTTTGGTGTCACTTCATTCTACAGTTCGCACAGGATTTTAGTTTTTCTACCACAGTGACGATACGGTGTGAGGGTTCGTTTGGCTGAAATGTTTCTTCAGTTTAGTTTTTGTTGACTTTCAGAGTGTTTGTAAGATCCAGATGTGGATCCGTTTGGATGTTTCTCATCCCGACCTCGCAAATGTGCATCAGAGTGAAACTGGAGAGGCCGGGAGGCGTCGTCACCGAGTACCCTCGGAGAGCGGAGGGTATTTCCAGCCTTTCCAGCAGTCAGAGCGCAGATGGCTGTTTGCTGTTCTCAGTGCCGATGTTCTCGCAGTGAGGGCGGCGTTGAAGTGTTATCAGCTGCATTGTTGTGGTTTTATCTCTGGAACAAATTTACATTTTGCTCACTGAACCTGCAGCTTCCATTTAAAAAGGCTCATTCGATCCGATCTGAGCGTTAAAGCCAGAAAACAGCAGGTTTCATAGATTTGTGCAGACTGTTTGTTCCAGTCGTCCTCATTGCTTCTTCCTGTTGATATCTGGGCAGTTGTAGACCTCGTGGCGTCTTCCAGCAGCTCCAGTTTGATATCGGAGCGTCTCCGCTGAAGGCCATTCAACACTGAGGCCATTGTCTTGCTGCAAAATAACAACACAGCGCGAAGGTCGTGGATTTGTGTGAACGTTTGTTGGACTGGGCAAATCTTATCGGCCCAGTTTCCCTGCAGAGGTCAGGCTGAGTTCAGTCCGGTGTGGAGGAAGAGCTTCGTGTTGGAAGACGACTCGAAGAATCTGTCGGTGCCGTGTTTTTATCTGCGGGAGTGACTTTAACCACCGTGTATGACTGCAGACGTTGTACAGCGACGATGCGAGAAGTTTAAAATCTGCAATCATTCAAAACCAACCTGTTCGATAACGGGTCAGAGAGGCCACGCCCCCCACAGTACCCCGGGTGTTTTTTGTCCACATAAAGCCTTTGGTGTGGTCAGTTAGTAATCAGCACTTTAAAGCAGCTCCACTTAAAACGTGGCATGCTAGAGTGTCAGCCGGCCGTGACCTTTGACCTCTGTCTTCACTGCTTGAATCCTCACAGTGAGTTCAGAAGTCAGCGGCGTGTGAAAGCACGCACAGAGCAGCTGTGGGTGGAGGATGTGTGGGTGTGGTGCCAGTTGTGAAACTTCCTCCTGTGACCTCCTGAGTTCACGCGCCGCCGTGTTCGAGCTGCGGCGACAGACACGTGTGACGAAGAGCTCGTTTAAAACATTAAACAAAAGCTCAAACACTCTGCAGCTCTGTTTGTTCTGTTTCTATAAAGACAGCGTCAGACTGACGGCGCTGCACCGAGGCCCGGGAGTAGACCCTAGATTATTATGAAGTGTCACTCATGCAAAGCCACGTTGTCCAGTAGAATAGATGGTAGGTGAGGGATCGTTTTAGACTTCTGGTTTTGTTTGGCCCCAGTTTGTGAAAAGGACCTTTGAGTTTGAATCCATCGTCTGTTGTCTGAATTATGTAAGTGTGCGCTTCGATCGACTCGAGCGAAACAGTCTGGTCCCAGATGTCGTCGACCGCACCGAAGAGCCAAAAACTGGAGGCTGATCCTCGAGCTGTCCACTAGAAAATAAGTGTGTGTGTGTGTGTGTGTGTGTGTGTGTGTGGGCGATAACAATAACCAGCAGGCTCGTGGGAAATAAACTCTGCTGCAGGTGTGAGCCATCAGGCGACACTTCATCTGCTGCGTGTTTGTGTGAGCACGAGCAGAGTTCAGGTTTAGTCTGCTTTATCCAGCACAGGAGAACACACACTCACGTGTGTATTTATATCCTTGTGGGGACATCATTCCCTAGCCGCGTACCCTAACCATCAAATATGAACGCCTGACCCTAAACCTAACCATAACCTAATTGTAACTCTGTCACTAAAACCACATTGTCTGAAAAATACCTTCAAACTCGTGAGGACCAGGATGTTGGTCCCCACAAAGATATGTAAACACACACGTGTTCACATCCAAACCCTGCAGAGACGAGCAGGACGCTCGGAGACTCCTGACTGTGATTATCGTGTCTCACTCTCTCTCTCTGTCTCTGTGTCTCTCTCAGATGAGCGTGAGGCGGTGCAGAAGAAGACCTTCACTAAGTGGGTGAACTCCCACCTGTCCAGAGTTTCCTGTCGGATCACCGACCTCTACATGGACCTGAGGGACGGACGCATGCTCATCAAGCTGCTGGAGGTCCTGTCGGGAGAGAGACTGGTGGGTTACGTCGCTGTCAGGGCTTTTATTTTGAAGGAGTAGCAGAAACTGGAGAAATGTTTACCATTCACGGGGTGCGGTGGGTCACTGGGACGAAATATTCCATCAACAGCTTCATAAAAACAATCATACGTGACCTGAACTGATCATCAGGTGACTTTAATGTGACTAAATATTAGAAACACTCACCAAAGCGCCGAGAACGAGACATTTTTAAGTTATCTCAAATATGTCTTTATGAGGGTTCGACGTCAGGACGGAGTCACGTCTGTTTCGTCCTTCCCCGCCTGCACTGATGGAATCGCATTGGACTTCTTCTTTTTTTTTAACCCACTTTGGGTCATTCGGGTCTGAACAAATCGTGAAAATAAGCGAAAGACTTTCTGCTTTTCAGCCATTGTCCACCTTGTAAAATGTCTCTGATGTTTGTGAACATGCAGATGGAGGTAAACTCCTCGGCTCTGGCTGATGAAACCAAGCCGTTCATGGACAAAAGCTCTGTGCTGTCCTCGCTGCACAGCAGCAGCTGCCGGGCGTCTCCGCTCTCCCCCTCATCTTATCTAAAACGTTTATTCCTTCTCTGTGGAGATGAAATGAGGCGTTTATGGCTCTGGCAATCATTAACCTTCCTCTGTCTGCTTCACTTCAAACCACATCGGCTTCCAGCGCTCTCGTTTCTGTCTTGGTCGAGCTTTTTTTAAACAGATGTGTGTCATCGGAGGCGCCGCGTACACGTCACACCAAATATATAAAAACAGCAGCGCGACTCTTTAAGACGTCAGCAGAGGATAGAGAGGAGGAGATGATGATGATGATGATCAGCAGCTTAGGATGATTCAAAGCTCATAATAATCCTTCTTTCTCTTATACTGAGCCTCAGTGCTGCCCCTCACTTCATCATCTGTCTGAACCACCAGTTTTAGCTCCTCCCCCTTTTAAGACAACCTGTTTCTTTTTCACAGATGTCTGCTCAGAGCACGCTGAACTGCATTTATGTCGAATCATCCCAGAAATCCATAAATCCGGGTGAACGTTAAACAGTCGAAGGTGTTTCTGATGCTCTCGAGTTTCCACATTTTGAATTCTGAGAGGAGAGCGAGTCGGTCTGTCGGCCTTCCTGCTGTATTCTCCTCACGCTCGCATGACGTTAAATCACTGACTTTCCCAGTTTGACCCCCGGACTCTGACTTCCGACGCTACAAGCCAAATCCCCCTCTTCTTTTTCTTCTTCTGTCTGTCGAAGCTCTTCATCTCTGACCTCCTCTTTCGCTCTGCTGTCATCCGGCTTTCTCTCAACCTGTCAAACACACACGGAGAGGAAACGCAGCCAGGAATCCGACTTTCCTCCGTTTTCACCTTCTGTTCGGTGAGGAGGATGTTGGAAATGGAGAGATGGTGACGTGTGAAGCAGGCTGGGTGGAGGATGGGGGGGGGTAACGGTGGTAGATGGGGTATTTGTGCAGGGGGGGGGTTGAGTTGTGAAAGGAGTCATTGAGTAACTTCAGGGTTTACATGCAGCCAAACGCCTCCAGAAGCAGCAGAAGAATCTGCGAGCGAGCGGCTGCAGAGGCCGTGCAGCAGCAGGCTGAGCTGTGCACGGCTTCAGTCTCTGTGCTTACAGTTAAAGTGAAGTCCAGCTTCAGCGTGGCCCACAGCAAAGACACGCGTGCACAGTTTCCTGATGCTAGCCTGCTCAGCGACAGCGTGTGTGGTTTTCTAAGCATCTGTTAGCTTATCATGGCTAAAGTAGCAAAGCTCCGTGTTTCTGACATGTGCGATAACATGGAAGTTTGAGCCACACGTGCAGTTTCAGCTGCGTGTGTGTGTGCACAGTAAACCTGAAATAATTCTTGTTTGTCTGCAACCCCTCACGGCCAGCGACATCTGGCTTTGCATCGCGTGCTGGGACGTCCAATCGGGCACAGCCCCACCCACCTGCTGGTCCCGGCAGTCAGATTACGAGGCTCAGAAAAGGCAGCGTTAAAGGGGGAGGAGCTAAAACGGCTTGTTTCAGTTAGCTGATAAACTGCATGAACCCATGTCAGACACAGAAGGATTATTTTGAACTATAAATCGTGCTGAGCCGCTGTAGATGAGCACATGTGTAGACGAGCATGACGTGGGCTCAAGGGAAAGATGGATTTGGAGAAATCTGAAATCCTGTGGTCAGAGAAAAATGTCAGAAATGGTTTAAAATTGGTAGCATTTGTTTAAGAAATGACTCAGAGGGCTGAAACAGCAGCGCTTGAATGGAAGGAATTTGTTGGGACTATTTTCAGAGGCGGATTAATCCACACCGCGTGTTGTTTCCTGTAGCTGGATGATAATGAGGGAACATGTCAGAGTCCCACAGCAGGATCGCTGATGTTTTCTGGGCAGCATTTGGTAGTAAGATGCGTTTTTGTTGGACTTGTTCAGGCCTCCCGTTGCAGTATTGTGTTATAAAAAACATCCATCACTGTCCTCCTCACTCCAGGGTTACTCTGAGGGGGCCTTTCAGGCTTGGCTCAGGTCCTATTTGGGAAAAGGTTTCCGATCAGTCTCACCGCAGTCACTCACAACACAAACAGGCCGCCCCCGTTTCATGACACGGCGCGATGCTCCAGCCTGAAAGCCGCTCCAACCTTCTCCGCGTGGAAATTCCCGCTCCGGAGTGGGACCCGCTCCTGAGGGAGGTGAAATGGTTTGTTTTCATGGCTGAAGGTGCTGATGAGCGTCAGCGTGAGGTGACCGCCGGCATCGTCCAAAAAATCCCTCTGGTCCGAGTCCAGGTCCTGAATCACGGAGCGACTTTGAGCCGTTTGTGTCCGTGTGGGGAAAAAGAAACGTCTGCGGTGTTATTGTTGGCCTCTGTCCCGCTGTGTGTGTGTGTGTGTGTGTGTGTGTGTGTGTGTGTGTGTGTGTGTGTGTGCTGCAGGATGTAACGTGGCTGCTCTGACATTTATTTTATCGTCGACTTCTATTTGTCCTGTGTTTAGTTTATATTTCGGGATTTCATCCAAATTTAAACATCGCCTTCCTGAATTTGTCAGAGCCGTCCGAGAGGCTCGCTTTCAGCAACGTCCATGAAACACAGGCAGGTGTGCACAGCCTCACCTGTGTCAGCTGGAGACTCTCCGTGATGTCACAGCATCCTGACCCTGAGAGCAGCGAACTCCTGTTTCTGACTCGATGTCACATTCAGCTTGGGTGGAGTCGCGTCCGTTTGTTGTGCGACAGCTGAACTGTCAAACATCTGGCTGATGATTCGGGGCTGAAGCTCGACAGTAAACTGGGTTATCGCAGCGTTAAATCGTCCTGTAAATCCTTTGGTCATAATCACAGCCGAGTCCTCCTCATTCGGCGTCTTCTGCTCCGCCTGCTGGGAAACCGAGGCTCACGGGCGTTCCACGACTGCGGGCACGCTGGGCTCCGTTTCCTCTCCGGGACAGGAATCGCCTGACCTGCACAGTTTCATGGGTGAACTGCCCAGAAACAGAGAAAGGAAAGAGCCCAGGATCCATATCAATTCTTTAATTAGAGCATCAAATCTGTAAAACCTCAAATTTGGAGTCAGATATGATTTAAAAAGCACCAAATCATCACGATCATAAAGCTTCAAGCCTCAGATTTAGTTTGAAAATGAATCGAAATCATCAACAAAGATTCTCTGATCAGCAGCTCGAGCCCACAGTCTGAAGTCAAACGGCAAAAGTGACTAAAGTGCTCCAACGCCAGTTTCTCAGGTCCCACTTGCAGCGCCCCCTGGTGGGCGGACCCCGCCATCTCTTTTTAAAAGCTGCTCATCAACCAAAACTAAAGCAAATATAGAAACTTATACGGCAGAAATGCCCAAAGTGCTCCAGAGTACAGCGTGTGTAATGTCCTCAGATCTCCTGTCTGTCGCTTGGCGATCGTGGACGTTTCAAGCCATGATCTGTAAATCTGTGACGTTTCCAATTGGAGGGATATAAACTCAGGACACCAGCGCAGCTGCAGCGTGAAGCAATAAATAGATGATAAAACAGAAAATGTCCGTTTGAAAGCGTTCAGCTGTGTCTGCAGCTGTTCACACACGGCGGCCTGACGCGGTTCACGGTTTCTGGTTTCTGCGGGTTCTTTAAAAAAAACCTCACTCCTGTTTTTGTTGTCGTTTCAGCCGAAACCCACGAAGGGTCGTATGAGGATCCACTGCCTGGAAAACGTGGACAAGGCTCTGCAGTTCCTGAAGGAGCAGAGGGTTCACCTGGAGAACATGGGCTCCCACGACATCGTCGACGGAAACCATCGCCTCACTTTAGGCCTGATCTGGACCATCATCCTCCGCTTCCAGGTAACAGGCAGCTGAGCAAGTTTGCATCCCAACACCAGACTGGGTCATCACCTGCTAGTGTGGTGTGTCTCTTTTTTGGGCGCCATTTTGCATCCCAAAAGACGTCATTACAGTCATCCCTAACACTAAAGATATCCACTGTGACCGAAGTAGAGAAGCTGGTGTTTTCCATGGGGGACAAACGACACCGTTTACGTCCGTCTGTGATTTTGTGTCCTCAAAACTTCTCAGTTTTCAATTGTGAGACAGAAAAAGTCTTATGTGCCATTTTGCATCCCTAAAATAATGAAGCACTTCCTCTGTTGAACCTTTCACATCGATGCTGTTTTGCATCCTGTAGGATTTCATCCAAAGACTATTTTGCATCCCATAACACACCGAGTATATTCTCACTCGCACACACGTTGAACCAGTTATTGACACGAGATGCAAAATGGCAAATCTGACACCTTTAATATTACAGTTTATTTCACATAGAAGTGAAAGCACTGCTACACTGGAAACTAATCCCTTAATATGATTATGAAGTAGTGAGTTTAAAAATCGGCATATTTTGCTGCAAACTGACGAGTTGAAGTGAAGTTGGTGGTAAAATGTTCACTTCATCCGTCACAAACCAGGCAGCTGTTTGTTAGCTTCAGACTCGTTAAACACAATCAGGTGAAATCCGAAGCCCCGGCTCTTCCTGTGACGTGGTTTTACTGTATGCTGACGGTCGATGTCACTGGGGCAGTGAACAGTTGGGTGAAAAGGATTTAGCTTTTATAAGCTGTGAGGATTAAAAAATGACGGTTTAAAATCCTGCGGTGGAGGAGCGAGTGCAGACCGATAGCAGGACCACAGTTGGTTTCATATACGCATCAGCTGTGCTCGAATCATTCGAGCTGTCGGACTCAAACTGATGGACGTCCATCAATGAAGGTGAGATGGTTACGTCTGTAGGCTCGTGTGTCTTTGTAAGGACACACTGAGGTTTTCAGGAAATTGGGGGACGTTTTGGAAAATGAGGACGTTTCTGGTTTGCAGAGATGTTGTTCAGCACATTTTGCGTACTTTGTCTCATCTTTAAAAAGCTGTGAGAGTCCTCGGAGTCGGTTTAACCCTAAAGCTGACTGCTTCTTTAAACTGTGCGCCTCAGATCCAGGACATCAGCGTGGAGACGGAGGACAACAAGGAGAAGAAGTCGGCCAAAGACGCTCTGCTGCTCTGGTGTCAGATGAAGACGGCAGGGTGAGTCCTTCGGTTCCTCTCCTGAAAGTTTCTTATACGACCCTGCGCGGACTGTGATTGGCTGTGGGTCCAGGGAGGCGGGTCGAGGGGGGGCTGTCGCAGCTCACTTTCAGCACGTTGATGTCATTACTCTGACATGGTTAGATGGATTTATGATGATTTCTTCTTTGCAGATATCCTAATGTCAACATCCACAACTTCACCACCAGCTGGAGGGACGGGATGGCCTTCAACGCCCTCATCCACAAACACAGGTAGGGCTCAGCCTGCTGCAGGTGCTGCGCAGGGTCGAGAGAAACCCGGCACACGCTTCTCCGAGTGGAGAAATCTGACGTTTGATGGAAACACTGGCTTCTGCTTAATCGCATTTTTAAAAAACAGATTAAAATGATTTTTAGAGGAACTCTCTACGAAGACGAACACTCCAACACCACAGCAGGAGCTCGTGGGAGCTTTTACCGCGGCGTCCTTCAGAGCTCATTAAGATTTAAAACCTTCCTTTCTTTAGTTTATTAGGTGTGATGTACGCAGGCTTCTACAAAACTTTCACTTGTGGACAAACTTGTTTTTCTTTAAACCTCTAATCCTGATGGAGGGAAGGCGGAAACATAAAGACTAAAGTTCCGTTAGTCACAAAAAGAGATGAGACGAAAACATCCTGATGAAAAAGGAAGGCAGCGTCTCGTTAGCAGTACTGAGGTCCGGTCAGACGCAGTGTCCTGTTCTGACTGCTTCAGACAACCCATCACCCACTTCTGAGTGCCTCCCTATCCTCCAGGGTGATGTTGGATGCTGGGACCTTTGCATTGCTGAGACAGGCTGAAACTTTTCATCTGCACAGCATCTTACAATGTTGTGTTTGCAGCCATTCCCCACTTCTGTGAATGGTACTCATAAATCATGACGATTTGCATATCAATGATCATAAACTGACCTCACAGCCCATTTTTTCCTTAGTTCCTCAGGTTCACGCGTTGCTTCTCACCTGCAGTTTATCAACACCAAGATGGCGACAGCAAAAAATCTGAGCTTCCTAATTCATCCAGACAACTCGAGCTAATGCGCTGAACTCTGACAGGGATCATTTTAGCCTGCGTGCCATCAGCGTGTGACGATGTCTGCGAGTAGAGCTGGAATCACGTCACCTTTTGACCTTTCTCCTTCTGTTTCCGGTCTGCAGACCCGACCTGATCGACTTCGATAAGCTGAAGAAATCAAACGCTCACTACAATCTGCAGAATGCCTTCAACCTGGCCGAGCAGCACCTGGGCCTCACCAAGCTGCTGGACCCCGAGGGTAAGCCACGGCGCGCGCACGCACACACACACACACACACACACACACACACACGACATGTTAAATCTGCGCTCTTCATGCTCGTGTGCAGACATCAGTGTGGACCACCCTGATGAGAAGTCCATCATCACCTACGTGGTCACCTACTACCACTACTTCTCCAAGATGAAGGCGCTGAAGGTGGAGGGCAAGAGAATTGGGAAGGTGACGACGACTTTAAAGAACAAAGAAACAAAACGTCTCGTTAAACACTTTCTTTCCTGAAATATACCAGACGTTAAGCTCACGTTGGTTTTTTCCCTTCAGGTTCTGGACAACGCCATCGAGACGGAGAAGATGATCGAGAAGTACGAGTCTCTGGCGTCTGACCTGCTGGAGTGGATCGAACAGACCATCATCATCCTCAACAACAGGAAGTTTGCCAACTCTCTGGTGGGAGTCCAGCAGCAGCTGCAGGCCTTCAACACCTACCGCACCGTGGAGAAGCCCCCAAAGTCAGTATCTGCTTTTAATGCGAGACATCGCCATGGAAACAGACGAGAAGCGTTTTTAATTAATTTAGACAGGAAGTGGTAACAACGACAAGCGGTGCGCTTAATGTGCCGGATGGTTGTGCTCTGATCACACAGCAGCGAACTCTTTGTAGAGGAATCTCCACCTGCACATCCAGGCAGGTGGAGATTAAGATGAATAGACACTCAAAGGTGGAGCGAGACAGAATTACAGAGATGAGGAGACTAAAGACAGGCCTGGAGATGATGGAGAGATTGGGCGGAGCCATCAGTGCAGCGCAGACAGTTAGACGTGCTTCAGGTGTGTGTGTGTGTGTGTGTGTGTGTGTGTAACCACGACACACAAACAGGAAGCAGTGCACAGCTGCTTTAAAGGAGATGAAACAATATGAAACAAACCTGACGTTTAATAGTTTTCCTGGAACGAGTCGCACATCTGAGAGCAAAGCAAAAAGACTCGCCGTTCCTCCCGTTACACTGAGCCGACAGCAGCGGCGGAGACTCCTCTGCAGGGTTCAGACGGCTGAGTTTGTGCTGCTGTGTTTCAGGTTCACAGAGAAGGGAAACCTGGAGGTCCTTCTGTTCACCATCCAGAGCAAGATGAGGGCGAACAACCAGAAGGTCTACACCCCCCGAGAGGGCAAACTCATCTCCGACATCAACAAGGTACCCGGCCGCCCCGCCTCCAGCTCTGTGTCAGAGCTCAAGAATGGAGCCTTTAAACGTTTATTTTACATTAATCTGCCCTGAGAGGCGAAGCGAGCTGATTGGACGGTTTAGAGTCACGCCTGGATGTGTCGACCTGGCTTTGAGTCCAAACCTGTAAAGGTTCAGAACTGCTCGGATCCAGATGTTCAGACAGATGTAAAGACCTGCTCCTGTGTGCGTTTGTTTTAGGCGTGGGAGCGTCTGGAGAAGGCGGAGCACGAACGGGAGCTGGCTCTGAGGACTGAGCTGATTCGTCAGGAGAAACTGGAGCAACTCGCCCGACGCTTCGACCGCAAAGCTGCCATGAGGGAGACGTGGCTGAGCGAGAACCAGAGGCTGGTCTCACAGGTACGCTCGGCTCCGCCCGGGTCACCTTTGATCGAAACCTTTTATAGGAATCATTTTAATTGATCTTTATGTCCTCTCATCACCTCCATGTTTCCTTTCCTCTTTTCCTTCCCTTTCCGTGTATCCTTTCTTATCTTCATCTTCTTCTTGTTTCCTATATCCTTATTATTTTCTTTCCTCTCTCCTCTTTGTCCCCATTCCCTTCCTCATCTCCTTTTTTCTTTCCCACTCCCTTCCTCTCCTTTATCCTTATTCCCTCCCCTGTCCCCTCCTCATGTTGTTTCCTCTGTGTCTTCCTCGTTTCCTCTCTCCTCTCCTCGTTTCCTTTCCTTTGTCGTCCCTCAGGATAACTTTGGATTCGACCTTCAGGCCGTGGAAGCTGCTACTAAGAAACACGAAGCCATAGAAACGGACATCGCTGCGTACGAGGAGCGAGTTCAGGTGAGTCCGTCACCTGCTCGTCTCGTCTGACGTCCCGTATTGATTGGTTTAGGCGGAGGTCACAGGTGACGGAGTGAAAGCTTAGAAAGTCATTCTCCTCCTTATCATCTCCTCCTTATCACCGGTGTAGGCGGTGGTTGCCGTGGCAAAGGAGCTGGAGGCGGAGAGTTACCATGACATCAAACGCATCACAGCTAGGAAGGACAACGTGATCCGGCTGTGGGAGTATCTGCTGGAGCTGCTGAAGGCCCGCAGGCAGCGGCTGGAGATGAACCTGGGCCTGCAGAGAGTCTTCCAGGAGATGCTCTACATCATGGACTGGATGGACGAGATGAAGGTACGGAGGGACGGCCGCCATCTTTTATCAGTGGCTTTGTCTTCCTGATTGGTCGTTCTTATTTCTTTACTCGTCCTCTGAGGACACGTGTTTGTGCTCTGCTGCTGGTTTAACCTCCGCCCCTGTGCTCTCCACCTCCAGATGCTGCTGCTGTCTCAGGATTATGGGAAGCACCTGCTGGGCGTGGAGGACCTGCTGCAGAAGCACGCCCTGGTGGAGGCGGACATCAGCATCCAGGCCGACCGAGTCCGAAACGTCAACCGCAACGCTCAGAAGTTTGCCAGCGACACCGAGGGTGCGACACGCAGACTTTACCCGCTTAGCTCCAGCTGTTTGTTCTCCAGTAACACCTCCATCTCACCTCCTGCTCCTCCTCCTCAGATTACAAGCCGTGTGACCCTCAGATCATCAAGGACCGAGTCGCTCACCTCGAGTTCTGCTACCAGGAGCTGAACCAGCTGGCGGCTGAGCGGCGAGCGCGCCTTGAGGAGTCCCGCCGCCTGTGGAAGTTCTTCTGGGAAATGGCTGAAGAGGTGATCAGTTGTTGTTGTTATTTTATTTGTAGTAAATCGGTGGTTTGAGCTCCTGCTCTGAGGAGGTGTGACTGAAGCGTGGGTGTGTGTGGGGTCTGTAGGAGGGGTGGATCAGGGAGAAGGAGCAGATCCTCTCCTCCGAGGATTATGGGAAGGACCTCACGGGCTCGCTGCGACTGCTGAGCCAGCACAAAGCCTTTGAAGACGAGATGACCGGCCGCGCCGCCCACCTGCAGCAGACCATCAAACAGGGCGAGGAGCTGGTGGCCGACAACCACTTTGGAGCCGACAAGATAAAAGAGCGAATCAAGGACATCCAGGTACGACGCACCTGTGCCGCGGTCACACACGACACGATTGAATCCCCGCCTGTTCCTAACGCCTTCCCTCCAACCTCCCGCAGGAACAGTGGGCGGCTCTGGAGCATCTCTCCGCTGTCCGTAAGGCCCGCCTGCAGGAGGCCTGCAACCAGCACCAGTTCCAGGTGAAAACATTCTCCCAGTGTCAGAAACCAGCGACTGAACTCACCTGGCACAGGAAGGTAAATGTGCTGTTTGTTTTTCCGTCTGCAGGCTGATGCGGACGACATCGACACGTGGATGCTGGACGTGCTGCGGATCGTCTCCAGCGTCGACGTCGGCCACGACGAGTTCTCCACTCAGGCTCTGGTGAAGAAGCACAAGGACGTGGCCGAGGAGATCGGCAGCTACCGGCCCGTCATCGACGCTCTGCACGAGCAGTCGCGGACGCTGCCGCCCGAGAAGGCCAACTCCGAGGAGGTGACGGACGCAGCAAAGCTTCGAACCAGGTAAAGCTTCAAAATCCCAGAACGCACCTCGCTGACGGTTTGTGTGCTCGCAGGTTCAGAGCCGGCTGGCGGGCATCGAGGAGCGCTACAAGGAGGTGGCCGAGCTGACGCGGCTCCGGAAACAGGCGCTGCAGGACGCTCTGGCGCTCTACAAGATGATGAGCGAAGCCGACGCCTGCGAGGTGTGGATTGACGAGAAGGAGCAGTGGCTCAACAGCATGGACATCCCCGAGAAACTGGAGGACCTGGAGGTCGTCCAGCACCGGTAAGAACCGGCCCGCCATTGGATCGTCGAAGAATAACGGAAAATATCAGATTTCCATGCAAACGCACGCCGTGCCCACCCTGTCCGGGTTACACCCACAGTCAGCGCGCTCGTTTAACGGCTCAGTTACGGGGTGTTTTACTGCTCCATCAAATATTCTGCCCTCTCCTCTCAGCAGGGCCAGAGATAATGTTCCAGCAGTGGAAGCTGTGGGAACAGACCAGTAAACTGTTATTTACACCAGACACAGGTTCTTCAGAGTGTGTGTGTGTGTGTGTGTGTGTGTGTGTGTGTGTGTGTGTGTGTGTGTGGTTACATGGTTCGTTCACAGCAGCCTTCTTCTCGGGTTTTTAGCTGCTTGTCTCTGTTTTGTTCGACCACAAAACGTCACATGGATCCGATCCCAGATGCTGGTTAAGTGTGTGTGTGTGTGTGTGTGTGTGTGTGTTTAACTGCCCTTGTGAGGACCAGGCTCAGACTCCAGCAGGTTCCCTGCATCATTAAACTCACTGAGAGTTTTGGGGAGGTTCGATTGGTCTTCGGGGTCGGGCACGAGGTGGCACACACCCTGGACCGGTCACCATTAGTCAGCAGGTTGAATTACAGCGACAGACACACCTGTGTTATAAAAGCAGTCAAACCCATCGCACGCCCCCATGAAAAAAGACTTTTTGAATGAACCGGAGTCTGATTAAAACTGGAGTTTTACGAGCTCAGGTTTAATTTGATCTCTGCAGCAGGAATAAAAACACGGAGCTGTAAATGAGAACAGGTCCACCTCAGGATTAAACTCTTTTCTTTGGCATTAACTGTCGTTGTTTGACTGTTTCTAAGCTTTTCATGGCCAGATTCAGCCGCTCAAACCTTTGGTGTAAAATCCGACTTTGATACGTTGTTGGGAGAGTTAAAGCAGCCCGCCTGCTCACACCTGTGACCTCTCATCCTGGTTCTCCTGATCGGCCGTTAGGACAAAGAAAACTGTCCTGCAGCTGTTTGTTGTTTGCAATATGGATTCACAGGGTTTGCATCTTTTTGAAATATTCATGCTGATGATCCTCGTGACGTCCGACTAACCGTCTCTGTTCAGGTTCGAGAGTTTGGAGCCGGAGATGAACAGCCAGGCGTCCCGGGTTGCCGTGGTAAACCAGGTTGCCAGGCAGCTGATCCACAGTGGACATCCCAGCGAGAAGGAGATCAAAGCCCAGCAGGACAAACTCAACACCAGGTAATCAAACTGGGATTATCAGGAATCTGATGACAGCACGGCGATTAGGCTCAGAGACGAGTCAGGAAGTGAAGCTGGACTGAGGTTAAAAAATGTATTTTTACCTGTTTTAAATGACAAATAATCAATCAGAGCTTTGATTGAACCAGAGCGGTCCGTGTATCCAGCAGGTCTGCATCTGGATACGTTTGTGATGTTTGGCTGAAAACATGAAAGCATTTCTCTAAACTTTTCTTATTTCACTTTGATATGAAATATTTATAAAGCAACACCAGCTTTGCTCCGTCTCAGTGGAAAAACTTCCAGACACTCCTGGATCCTGGTCGGCTTCAAACCTGTTTCTTCCTGATAAACTGAGCTAAGCTAACAGAAAAACTGAACACAACCCCGCGGTTATTAAAGTCTGTTCATGTCAATAAAGACACTTTAAAGATACAGTGGGGCAAAAAAGTATTTAGTCAGCCACCGATTGTGCAAGTTCCCCCACTTAAAATGATGACAGAGGTCAGTAATTTGCACCAGAGGTACACTTCAACTGTGAGAGACAGAATGTGAAAAAAAATCCATGAATTCACATGGTAGGATTTGTAAAGAATTTATTCGTAAATTAGGGTGGAAAATAAGTATTTGGTCACCTCAAACAAGGAAAATCTCTGGCTCTCACAGACCTGTAACGTCTTCTGTAAGAAGCTTTTCTGTCCCCCACTCGTTACCTGTATGAATGGCACCTGTTTGAACTCATCATCTGTATAAAAGACACCTGTCCACAGCCTCAAACAGTCAGACTCCAAACTCCGCCATGGCCAAGACCAAAGAGCTCTCGAAGGACACCAGGAAAAGTATTGTAGACCTGCACCAGACTGGGAAGAGTGAATCTACAATAGGCAAGCAGCTTGGTGTGAAAAAATCAACTGTGGGAGCAATCATCAGAAAATGGAAGACATACAAGACCACTGATAATCTCCCTCGATCTGGGGCTCCACGCAAGATCTCATCCCGTGGGGTCAAAATGATCATGAGAACGGTGAGCAAAGATCCCAGAACCACACGGGGGGACCTGGTGAATGACCTGCAGAGAGCTGGGACCAAAGTAACAAAGGTCACCATCAGTAACACACTACAACGGCAGGGAATCAAATCCCGCAGTGCCAGACGTGTTCCGCTGCTGAAGCCAGTGCATGTCCAGGCCCGTCTGAAGTTTGCCAGAGAGCACATGGATGATACAGCAGAGGATTGGGAGAATGTCATGTGGTCAGATGAAACCAAAGTAGAACTTTTTGGTATAAACTCAACTCGTCGTGTTTGGAGGACGAAGAATACTGAGTTGCATCCCAAGAACACCATACCTACTGTGAAGCATGGGGGTGGAAACATCATGCTATGGGGCTGTTTTTCTGCCAAGGGGACAGGACGACTGATCCGTGTTAAGGACAGAATGAATGGGGCCATGTATCGTGAGATTTTGAGCCAAAACCTCCTTCCATCAGTGAGAACTTTGAAGATGAAACGAGGCTGGGTCTTCCAACATGACAATGATCCAAAACACACCGCCCGGGCAACAAAGGAGTGGCTCCGTAAGAAGCATTTGAAAGTCCTGGAGTGGCCTAGCCAGTCTCCAGACCTCAACCCCATAGAAAATCTGTGGCGGGAGTTGAAAGTCCGTGTTGCTCGGCGACAGCCCCAAAACATCACTGCTCTCGAGAAGATCTGCATGGAGGAATGGGCCAAAATACCAGCTACTGGGTGTGCAAACCTGGTAAAGACCTATAGTAAACGTTTGACCTCTGTTATTGCCAACAAAGGTTATGTTACAAAGTATTGAGTTGTATTTTTGTTATTGACCAAATACTTATTTTCCACCCTGATTTACGAATACATTCTTTACAAATCCTACCATGTGGATTCATGGATTTTTTTTTCACATTCTGTCTCTCACAGTTGAAGTGTACCTCTGGTGCAAATTACTGACCTCTGTCATCATTTTAAGTGGGGGAACTTGCACAATCGGTGGCTGACTAAATACTTTTTTGCCCCACTGTATACTGGTAATTATTTTAGGTTATTTAATAGGAAAGAATGTTTTACTCATAAATATTCATTGATTAGGTGTAATTATGTCTCTCAGCATTAAAAATACATGTTGCTCCGCCATATTGAATACAGAGACGGAGATGTCTAATCAGTTTATGTGTGTGGTTACAGACCGGCTACTTATGCAGTACCGCCGATATGGACACAATTAATCATGTGACCCTGCCCTCATAGAGGGCTGGCTAAACATCAGCTGGTTATAAGCTAGCATCTGTGAGCTAATGTTAGCCTCGAGTGTCCTAAAAATGACACTTTTCCTCTGATAAATAGTTTGGCTACATTCTCACATCATATGAACACTTAATCAGTTAAAGTCTAGGAGTCCAACAATGTTAGCTTCACTTCAGAGAAAGGTTTACCAATGCTGGCTAACAGCGGCTAGCAGCAGCTAACAGAAGCTAACAGCAACAAAAACAGCAGCGCTAACTGACAAGAAGGTTCAGCAGCTCACCTCAGTATCCCTGTCATCAGTCTGAAATAAGCTTCCCTGACTTGTTTCAGACTCCTTTGAAGCTTTTACAGCGTCCTCCAGAGGGAACAGATTTGGATAGAGTCATACTTATATGTGAGATTAATGAAGTTTGAGTAACTGAAGCAGATTTGTAAAACTACACTAAAGATCAGTGCTGGTTGGATCTAAAGCTGGAAGCAACAGAATATCTTGTAATTTTTGGTTTACATTTGTAATCGTAGAATAAAGAAAGCTTTAATGTTGGTTTATATTCAACATTAAACGTAAAACAAATGTTGGGGCTAAACCAGAGTTAAGCTGTTATTAAAACTGAGAATGTAAATAAAATGAGTTTCAATTTTACTTTGATGTCATTTATAATAAGTGAGCTGCAGGGTTGATCTGATTAACCGGCATCAAACCGTTCCTGAGCAGGTAAATCGAATCAGAGTTGACGGTGTTTCTGTGTCCAGGTGGAGTCAGTTCAGAGATCTGGTGGATCAGAAGAAGGAAAGCCTGAACTCGGCTCTGGGAGTCCAGAACTACCACCTGGAGTGCAACGAGACCAAGTCCTGGATCAAAGAGAAGACCAAGGTACCAACAGAGCCAAATTACCAAAACCGGCGAACGACGAGAGGCGTGATTTTTACACGAACCACTCTGTGGTGCCTGATCGATCTTTTTGCCCCCCGTCTGTGTGCAGGTGATCGAGTCGACCCAGGAGCTGGGGAACGACCTGGCCGGCGTCATGGCTCTGCAGAGGAAGCTGACGGGGATGGAGCGCGACCTCGTGGCCATACAGGACAAGCTGAGCGACCTGGGAAAGGAGGCGGAGCGTTTGGGCTCCGAACACCCGGAACAGTCCGAGGCCATCAAAGGGCGTCTGGCTGAGATCACCGGCGTCTGGGACGAGATGAAAGTAGGCTTTTCTCCCCGTGTCTGTATATAACTACCAAACGGAGAATTTGGTGCCGCTAATCATCTCCTGGCTGTTTTCAGGACACCCTGAAGAACCGGGAGGAGTCTCTGGGCGAAGCCAGCAAGCTGCAGCAGTTCCTGCGCGACCTTGACGACTTCCAGTCGTGGCTGTCGCGGACGCAGACGGTCATCGCCTCTGAGGACATGCCCAACACGCTGGCCGAGGCCGAGAAGCTGCTGGCCCAGCACGAGGGCATCAAGAACGAGATACGCAACTATGAGGAGGACTACCAGAAGATGAGGGACATGGGTGAGATGGTGACGCAGGGCCAGACGGACGCGCAGTACATGTTCCTGCGACAGCGGCTGCAGGCGCTGGACACCGGCTGGAACGAGCTGCACAAGATGTGGGAGAACCGGCAGAACCTGCTGTCCCAGTCTCACGCTTACCAGCTGTTCCTCCGGGACACCAAGCAGGCCGAGGCCTTCCTCAACAACCAGGTGAGCTCGCCGTTCCATCTCACCTGTGCTCCACGGTGTAGAATCTGAAACCTCAGTTACCATGGATACCAGACTACAGGAAATGGTTCAGAGGGTCATGTGATGTGAGCACAGAGTGAACCGCCGTCGCATTAATGATGCTCACAGTCTCCGATCTGCGACAACCGTCACATGATTTTTGCCCAGATCTCTCCCTCTGTACCCCAAGTGCATGCTGGGACAGAATCCAGCTTCTTTCTTTCTTTGCATAACTTTTACCCAAATAAAAACCTTTAGCTCGAAACGGTGAGTCAGAGGTATCAAATAAAGACGCCTCAGTCTCTGAGCTTCACACAGTCAGAGAGCTCAAACGTCCCGCAGAGGATGTCAAAGGTCAAGTAGCTGCTCAGCTGAGAGACGAGAGTGACGGGACGTGAGGTAGTTCAGAAGTTCAGCCAGCCCTGTGATAGGTGAGCAGCGTGAGCATGGCGCTCGCTGTGCGATCAGAGGCCTCGGCCTGCGTCACAGTCCAGGATTCAAAGAATCATCAGCTGTGATTTCGAACACTTCAGATTAGAAATGTTTCTGGTCGTGCGGCTGTTTTCTCAGGTCACACGCTGCCACCTGCTGGTGAAAAGCCTCCATTACAGCCACGTGTTTACCCTCAGCGTGTGATCTACAGCAACTCATTTCTGTCCGCTTCAGCTCACTCACACGTTTTCAAGCGAACATGTTACGTTTCTTTTACCAGTTACACAGAACATTAATTAATAAAAACTCCAGAACAAATGGTAATGTCTCTGTGTTTGGTCTTCTCCTCTGGCAAAATGGTGGAAATCCTGATGATGATGATGATGATGAAGGCTGTGCTTAGCCAGGCTGCTCATTAGTTAGCGGAGATGGGAGGATTACATCAGACGAATTAAAGTTTAAACTGGAGCCTGGTGGCTGTGGCTCAGGCGGAGATCATCTCAGTGTAACAACCTCAGCCTGCTTCCTTCACTTTAACGTAGAAGTTCGATGGTTTTGAGATTGTTCTTACATTTCATTCTGAAACAACCCCTTTAAGATGACTTTGTTTTGATTGGCTGCCCCTTGAGCAGGCTTGAAAAAGCCCCACCCCTCTCTATGACATCATCCAGATGCTAGTTTTTAACGACTCCTCTGCGTTCCTCCACCAGGAGTACGTCCTGGCTCATACAGAGATGCCCACCACCCTGGAGGGCGCCGAGGCTGCTATCAAGAAGCAGGAGGACTTCATGACCACCATGGACGCCAACGAGGAGAAGATCGGCGCCGTGGTCGACACCGGCCGCCGCCTGGTCGCTGACGACAACATCAACGCCGAGCGCATCCAGGAGAAGGTGGACTCCATCGACCAGAGGTGACCAAGAGTCTGTCAGTGTGTGAGAAATCGATCCGGAAAGGGAGAGAGGATCATTTGATGATTTCCTGTTTACGATACATGTGACGATGTTAAAGGGAAACGTGAGCTTTACAAACTTTAACCTTCTTGCAGAAAAACGAAACAAAATAACTTTTGTTCTGCAGACACAAGAAGAACCGAGCGGCTGCCAGCGACCTGCTGACGAGGCTGAAGGACAACAGAGACCTGCAGAAGTTCCTGCAGGACTGCCAGGAGGTAAAGCGCCGCCATTCAAAACACACGAAACATCCAGAGTGCGGAGGGCTTAGCCTCTGCTTCAGCTGCTGCTGGTGTCTGAGCTCGTTTGCCGGCTGTGTGTCCTCAGCTGTCCCTGTGGATCAACGAGAAGATGCTGACGGCTCAGGACATGTCGTACGACGAGGCCAGGAACCTCCACAGCAAGTGGCTGAAGCACCAGGCCTTCATGGCTGAACTGCAGTCCAACAAGGAGTGGCTGGACAAGATCAACAAGGTGAGCAGGGAGGAGGCGGAGTCAGACCGAGGAGGGAATCGGAGGACTGAAGTACGCAGCACAGATGAGCCCAGCAGCTGTTAGAGTACGAGAGCAGCCTGTCGGTGCTGGGTGACATCACTGAGAGCAAAAGCATCATTTTCAGTTGGCAGCATAAACGTCACACATCCTCGTATATCAGCACAAATATGTAAAAGAGTCCCTGTGACATCGCCTGTTTTAAAGCTGCCGTGTTTCTAAGCTGTCATCCCTGAACTCAGGAGCGTTGTCCAGTCCAGACCAACCGCTTGTTTTCTGCTCTGACGATTGGTTGAAACCTCCTGTGCCGCAGGACGGGCAGACGCTGATGGCAGAGAAACCAGACACGGAGGCCATGGTGAAGGAGAAGCTGGCGTCCCTGCAGACGATGTGGGACGAGCTGGAGTCGACCACGCAGACCAAAGCCAAGTGTCTGTTCGACGCCAACAAGGCCGAGCTGTTCACGCAGAGCTGCGCCGACCTCGACAAGTGGCTGGGCGGGCTGGAGGCGCAGCTGCAGTCGGACGACTACGGCAAAGACCTCACCTCGGTCAACATCCTGCTCAAGAAGCAGCAGGTGAGGACGAGGTTTCCTTTCAGTGTGAACTATAAACTGTATATCTGCACGATGTTGGCTAAAAACACTTTGTTATTGACTCTATCAGCTGTCGGAGGGTTTCCCTGTAAACTGGTATTGGCAGTGATGCATGAAGGAGGAGAAACCTGGACCTTTGATTTCAACAGCAGGGCGGGTTGGGCCCCAGCCCCCCCCTTCTTTAGGCACGCCCCTGACTCGTGTTATTCTGCACAGAAACAGCTTTTTTCATAATCAGATAATTATTGATTGATTGATCCGAAGCTCGTCGTTACTGCGAGTCCTCCATCGCCATGCTTTCTAAGCAGCTTTTACATAATTCAGCCTCACACTCGCTCCTCTTACGTAATCGTTCACTGGAGTGTCGAGCCCACGCTGAGAGCGCGGACAGCCGTGTTTGTGAGGACCTCGCCGTTTTTCCACTGATGATGGTGGAGGTCCTCGATGGTGCCGACGATGGTTTTATTAATGTAAGAGTAACAGGGAGGTCCTCACAGAGATGGTAAAACAGGAGCGTGTGTGTGGTGTTGGAGGGAGATCATTAGTGTTTGATCTGTCAAACAGAGAGAGAGGAAAACAAACCTCCTCCTCCTCCTCGTCTTCCTCGCTGCTCTAATTTTAGTTCAGGCTGTCCTGTTTCTGCTGCAGACGTTCGTTGTGTTTGTCAGTCGCTTCTCGGACGTCAGGAGATTTTTTATTTTACATTTTTGACAATACTGAAGGAAAATAAGACGAGGCCTCAGAACCAGTTTTTAAAATTATATTCTTTAAATTTATAATTTTTTAACACTGTTTGGTTCTTCAGTGAGCAACACTGTTTTTAATTTAAAGTATTTATATTTAATATTGTCTTTTTATACATGAATTCTATTTTTAATGCAAACTTTATGATTTGATTTATTTCTCTATTTTTGACTGTTTTGCATTTTTACTCATTAACTGGGTTTTGAGCTTCTCTTATTTATTTTATTTATTTTTGTTTATGGTTTCTTTTTGCTGCTTATATAGTATTTTATTTTTAAAATGTTGATTTTATTTAGTTTTTAGGTCTTTGTTGCATTTTTTAATATTTTGATTTTTCGGTGGATATTTCTCGCTTTGCATTTGCTCCTCATCAGAATATTTTCTGAAGGTATTTTATTAAATTATTTCATTTTCCTCGTTAAAGCAAAAAGATGCAAATAAAGCAACATCGTGCCGACGATTGAACCGAATATCAGAAAAACTTTCAGCTCTGTTGAAACAAACTGTTTGTCTTAGACGTCATTCACATATTTTCTTGGGGGGGGGGGGGGGTTGCGCTCGTGTCTGTGGCTGCAGCGGCGTCTTCTCCCCGTCTCACCTGTAAACTGTCCTCCTGCAGATCCTGGAGAGCCAGGTGGATGTACGTCAGAAGGAGGTGGAGGAGCTGCAGAAACAGTCACAGGCCCTCAGCCAGGAAGGGAAAGGCTCCGAGGAGGTGGATGGACAGAGAGTCACCGTGGAGAGGAAGTTCCAGACGCTCCAGGAACCACTGAAGAAGAGGAGAGACCACCTCATGGCCTCCCGGGAGATCCACCAGTTCAACCGAGACGTGGAGGACGAGATCGTAAGTTTTTAATGTAACGACCTCTGAAGGTGAAAATCATCTGGGCCCAACAAAAAGTTAGTAAAATACAAAATTAATGGATTAATTTGTATTATATTGTGTCAAACATTAAAAGTAAATGAATTTGGAGATGAATGAAAATGAATCAAAGAAAAACTTCAACAAAAAAAGTCATAATGCATGAAATGGAAAATTAAAGAAAATATCCTTTAAATACTACAACAACACAAAAAAGTACATAAATAATTTATGTAATTTTAAATGTGATTTTGGTCCTTTAACGATGACACACATGTTTTAATAACATGAACACAAACGTCGTCTCCACGTTTCTCAGAAACGACTTTTGACAGAAGTCGTTTCTGAGAAGGAACCAGAAGTAAAAGCGTCAGAGAGGAAGTCGCAACAGCTGCTGCGGTCACACTGATAACACTGATGTGGGAATAACAGGTGACGTGTGTGTGTGTGTGTGTGTAGCTGTGGGTGGAGGAGAGGATGCCTCTGGCCACTTCAACCGACCATGGACACAACCTGCAGACGGTCCAGCTCCTGATCAAGAAGAACCAGGTACGCCTCACCTTTACCTGCAAACTGCACGTTTTTCACGCTGATGGTTTTTATTTCTAAGCACTTCCTGTTTGGGATTAGGGATGGGTATCGTTTAGGTTTTATCCGATACCGGTGCCAAATCGGTACTTTTGAAACGGTGCTGGTGCTTAAACGGTGCTCAAACCGGTGCTTAAAGGATGGAGAACACAAAATTGGTCCAAAAACCTCTCATGTTCAGCTGTTTTTTTGTAAAAAGATAACAATGTTAGCCTTTTCTGCAGCTATGGGGCATATATGGTATCACTCTTGGCTGGAAGCTTAAACAATGGAAAAAACACAAACTTTGTCTAAAAACCTCTCATGTTTAACTGTTTTCCACTTTTTCTTTGGTCATTTTAGCCTTTTTGTCCAGGGTGAAGGGAGCATCTGCCATCAAACAAGAAGACAGCTGCATGTAGCTATGATGATGTTTGCTAGTTCACCTTACATGCATTAATGTAATAACGTGGTTAGCCTACTCAACGTAAATTACACACGAACAACATTAAGCTACTCACGCAGAGAAGAACGGCTGCTGCTGCCATCAAATACGGCGCATTTCTCGGCTTTTAAAAAAAAAACGCTATGCGTCTCCAGGTGTTTCATGAGATTCTTGGTGTTACCTCCTTTGACAGTATCACAGTATCAGCTTAAAGCTCTTGTTGCTGCTGAGTTTGCATATTTTGCTGTGAAGTACAGCCAGACTTTTGACCGCTTCGCCTTGGGCATTTTTAATCTGTAGCTCTGCATAAAAGAACGTACGTACCTGGCCCCGCCTACTATCCTCGGAAACGTAAAACGATTGGCTAGAAGTGTATCACAGCTCAGGAAAAAAAAGCACCGAAATAAAGCACCGAAATGTGCGCTGCTTTTCGGTCTGGTTACTACCGTTTATGATGGCACCGGACACCGGTACCCATCCCTATTTGGGATTTTTACAATATTTCAATATAAAAGCAGTAAAGCCTCATATAATCCTCTCTGTGACCTTTGACCTTCACAGACCTTGCAGAAGGAGATCCAGGGCCACCAGCCTCGCTATGACGACATCTTCGAGCGCAGCCAACACGTCCTGCGCGAGGACAGCCCGACGACCGAGCTGATCCGCCAGCGGCTCGCCGACCTGCAGTCGCTGTGGGAGCAAATCAAGAAGGAGACGGAGAAGCGCCACACCCGCCTCAGCGAGGCCCACGAGGCGCAGCAGTACTACTTTGACGCCGCCGAGGCCGAGGCCTGGATGAGCGAGCAGGAGCTGTACATGATGTCAGAGGAGAAGGCCAAGGTGAGGGGAGGAGCCGTGGGGGGGTGTGGAGAAGACGGACGCTTTCAAACTAGCAGAGCTCTGACACGTGAGATCCGGCTGTGTGATGGAAACCTGAGTCAGGTTTTAGTGCACTGGCACCTCAGTACATCCTCTTACCAAACAGAGTCAGGTGGATGTGTTCAGATTTTCAGAATAAAAGCATCTCTAAGGACAACATTTTCCCCGATTCTTTTCCTGCAGTTCTCTCTGACTGCCCTGCAGCAGCCCTGTGTTGCATTCAGGCACAGTGTGTTTGACCCGGTCCTCTTGGCTTTAGAGAGCAGCGTTGGATATCTCTGAGCAGGAAAAAAGACGTTAATGAAAATCTTACAGCCACTTAATCTCATTGGCTGTATGTTTGTTGAGGCTTTCCTTGTATGTCTCTGTGGGTGTCTGTTCTGTTTCAACTGTTAGATGTTTTGAAGGCCAGATTACTGAGTTAAGTTTGGTGATCAAACTGTGGGAGCATCTCACCTGCTGATCAGAATTCCACTGTGCATCAAAACTGGAGCTCCGACTTCTCAGACGCTCCGTTTTCTTCTGTTGGAGCACTTTTAGCATCTTTATCCGACCAATAATATGGCTGCTGTGGGGTTATTGTGCTAACACGGTCCAGACCAGGACTAGCAGACAGCTAGTGGCTACAGCCAACTGTCAGTCAAAGAGGCCACGCCCCTAATAATGCAAGTTTTAAGCCTAAATATAACTTAACCCGGTGAGTTATGAAGCAGTTGTTATATTTGTCTCTGACTCCTGAAATGAACCCCAGAGAAACTGTTAGCGTGTCTCCTCCAGTACAGAAAACCTGTCCTCTGCATATAGAGACTCTTATTCTACTTCCTGTCTTTTACTTCCTTTTAATCTTTAATCTGTGACAAAAGTTGAATCTAGTTTTTATGAAGGGGGGAAATGACCCACAGAGAACAGAGTGTGTGTCAGGCTGTGAACATGTTTGGGAGTCTACGGGGACAGACTCACTGCTGGAGCCTCTAGTGGACGTTGGAGGAACTGCAGCTTTTAACCTTTTAACTTTGCTGTAAAATATCTTTAAACAGCTTCATGCTTTTCTCAAACACTCCTCGACTCTTTGAACCATCTTGAGGAAACATCCTGCACGATTTAAATAAAGACGATGTTACAGAGAGTCGGTCGGTCCGTGTTTCTGTCCTCATGGCTAAAAACTTCCTCTTTCTTGGTTTTCGGGCACCTCCTGTTTCCTCTCTTTGCTTTTGTGTTGGTATCAGACTGTTTCTGCTGCTCAGCTCACTCTAAAAACTCTGGAGGCAGGTGATGTTTTCACTTTGGTTTTTCTGTGGCGTCAGTCTCAGGTGAACTCTGCAGGTGAGGGGAAACTGTCAGAGCTGTTTAACAGTCCCGACTCTTCTCAGCTGTCCTTCCACTGCCTTCACTTTTCTGTTCCTCAGCATCTCCTCTCCTTTCTCACTTCTTGTTTCTGATTCTTTAATTTAGTTTCTTTTTGAATCATGTTGGAAAGTCCAGAGAAATCTGAGCTTTTGCTTTTGCTAAAATCAGCCTGTGTGCGTCTATAGGACGAGCAGAGTTCGGTGGCCATGCTGAAGAAGCATCAGATCCTGGAGCAGGCGGTGGAGGACTACGCCGACACCGTCCACCAGCTGTCCAGCACCAGCCGGGGCCTGGTGGCTGCCGGGCACCCCGACAGGTGAGGTCGTTTTCCTGCTTTGTCACAGAGAGGAATGAACTTGGCGAATAATGAGGATTTAAAATCTGTCCTGCAGCGAGCGCATCGGCATGCGTCAGTCTCAGGTGGACAAGCTGTACGCCGGCCTGAAGGATCTGTCCGAGGAGCGCCGCGGGAAGCTGGACGAGCGTTTCCGCCTCTTCCAGCTCAACCGGGAGGTGGACGACCTCGAGCAGTGGATCGCCGAGAGGGAGGTGGTGGCCGGATCGCACGAGCTGGGACAGGACTACGAGCACGTCACCGTGAGTTACTCGATCAGCCGCCTCCTCGCGCCGTGCAGGCGCCTCTGAGGTTCTTATGGAAGCATAAAAACCCGACGTGTCCATATAAAAACGAGTGAAAACAGGACGTCACAAAGACTTTAAGGCAGCACGTCGTTTGTGAGCGTGCCCATTTCTATTTCCTCTCCTCTTGCAGATGCTGCAGGAGCGTTTCAGAGAATTCGCCCGTGACACGGGCAACATCGGCCAGGAGCGCGTGGATGGCGTCAACAAGCTGGCGGACGAGCTGATCAACACCGGCCACGGCGACGCCGCCACCATCGCGGAGTGGAAGGACGGCCTGAACGAGGCCTGGGCCGACCTGCTGGAGCTCATCGACACACGGACGCAGATCCTCGCCGCCTCCTACGAGCTCCACAAATTCTACCACGACGCCAAGGAGATCCTCAACCGCATCCTGGACAAACACAAGAAGCTGCCGGAGGAGCTGGGCCGAGACCAGAACACGGTGGAGACCCTGCAGAGGATGCACACCACCTTCGAACACGACATTCAGGCGCTGGGAACGCAGGTGAATATTTCTCGTCTCCCGCCGAGCCTGTCCGAGCTCTCGTCCCGTTAAACGAGGTCGTCCTGATTATCTTCAGTCTGCCTCTCGCTGAACGATCAGAAACTCATAAACTGATATTGTCCAATGAGAAATGAAGGCAGTGACGTTATTTAGAGCATGCTGATGGAGACTGTCGTGACTCTGATTCTGTAGCTTCATGTTCAGTTTTTCCTCCCTCGTGTGTTTTTAAGCTGTTCCGTATGCTGAAACGTTTCCGTGCTGCTTCCCTCGCAGGTGCGGCAGCTTCAGGAGGACGCCGTTCGCCTGCAGTCGGCGTACGCCGGAGACAAAGCCGACGACATCCAGAAGCGAGAAGGAGAGGTGAGCCTCGGTGTCGGGCAGCAGAGGTGCAGAGAAACCACATCAGTTCACTCTCGCCCTGATCTTCCTCCTCCTCTTACTGACCAATAAGCGCTGATGTCGTGACGTCACGTTAAAAGGCTGTTTGCCTCGCGCATGCTGCACTGCTGCCGCACTAACACCGCACTCTTCCTGCGCAGCTCAGCCGCTTTGTCACATGAATAATTTTAGCTCTCTGAGACACTCGGACACGAGCTGGAGTCACAGATCGAGAGGTGAAGGGAACGTTGGAACTCCCAGAAACATTTTAGGATGTTACAGGGCATGGTCAAAATCCTGGGAACACCCTTCCAGCTTTGTGTTATTCCCATAATGAGGAAAAATCGTTTAAAACCAGAGTTCAGGTTTAAGCGTCAGAGGTGAACGGGCGCGTGGTCGCTGCCGTGCGCGGCGTGCAGAATCGTGCACGGCTCACCGCTCTCCATTAAAATGCAAGTTTAATATCTGATTGCTCCGCCCACTTTTCCAAAACAGAGAAACTGGCGTTGCAGTTTGAGGTGAGGATCGTTTTTGGACTCATAAATTTCATGCTTTTAATGATTTAATCACTTTTTATGCGAGTGTGCAGCAGTGTAACAAACAGAGTCCAGATGTGCAGTCTTAACACGTTTCGCTCAGATCAGCGTCTTTGTGTGAAGGTTACTGTTCACGACGTGCGTGTTCCTACAGTCACGGCTGCGTGCGCCCGTCGAGCTCGACACGAAGCCTCATTTTCATATCAACTGTTTTTACTCTTTGCACTCGGAGCTCGCTGTAGAAACGTGTAAGCGTGACTCCATCTTTGCCCGTCAGCTGAGGTTACAGGCGAGGAACAGGCAGTCTCGTCACCTCCAGCTCTCGCGTGTCCTCAAACGGCTCAGCGTCACGTTTCTGTAAATCTGGACAGTTTAATTAAACGTTGGTGAAAAACCTTCAAATGAGGATTTGACTCCAGAGAGGAGGCGACGTGCTGGGCTGAAAGAGAAGCAGCTGAGCAGCTCGCACACCTCGTGGCTCCGCCTCTTTTTGTTTGGCGGTCCGGTGCTTTGCCAAACAGGGATTTGCAACGTTTCCGTGTGTTTTTCATGTGTAAGATCTTTATGTTGGTAAACAGGGTTTACAAAGAGGTTCAATGTAACATTTTAAAATTACACATAACTCTGTTATTGTAATCACATTCTAACAATCCAGCTTTTTGTGCACTTCAAATATGTTTGCAGAACTCTGGTGATTTCTGTTGCATTATGTGCATTATCCTCTTGGCCAGATCGCTCTGAAAGAAGACATTTTAAATGTCAACGAGACTTTTCACCTGGATAAATAAAGGATACGTAAACGTCACTGCCTTGTGACAGGTTGTTTGAGGCTTATGAGAGATACATTGTTTCATAGACCAACAAGTTATTTATAGCAGTTTAAATGCGAGGAATCATTTCTTGGCACTGGCATTAGTATTTTTACGGGGGTGTGGTGCCGATACGGCGTCACTATTTGTGCTTTGTAAACACGATGTCGCTCTGTAACCTTTAACATAGTAAAAGGATCCTAAACAGGCCGACCTGCTGTCGGCGTTCCTTCATTGTTAGGAGAATGAATGATGGCGCTGTAGTGCTGAAACTCTTACCCGTCCCTGCTTCCGATTGGTCAGATGCCGACTGGCTGTCATGTGACCTTTGAGCCCACTGGGATAAGTGAAGCCAGGTGAGCAGAATCCCGGACTTGTCGTCAGTTCGGCTCTCGGGTTTCGGATTCGCCGCGATGAAGAGCAACGTCACGCTCCAATAAAGTGGAGCCGTGCTTCGTGCGAGCTGCTGGGTTTGCTCCGTATTCGTGTCGGTCCCGCCCTGCTGGAGCTGGACTGTTGATGCTGAGCACTGAGTGTTTTTGATGGCGTTGTGTTTTGACCATTCCCTGTATGTCCGTTTCCTCCCTGACCGCCCAGAGGAGAAAGGGAGAGGTGAGACTCTGTTTACCACAAACGTCGGCTTTGCATCAGTCTTCATTTTGGCTGCAGTTTTAGGCTTCCTTTCCTCCAGTCTGACTAAAATGTTGATGAGCCGCAGTAACATTTTAGTCCTTCCCATGCAGCTTAGTGTTTCCCGCAAACGCTCCGAACATTTGTTCTTTGTCTCCGCTCGCCTGGGCCGCAGAGGGGGTTAAAACAAGCGCTGCTCGTAGTTTGAGTCTGCTGACTCGGCAGAGACAGAAGACAACAGGCTGACAGGTTTGGCCTCCAGCGAAGCTTCTTTCAAACTCTTTTTAAATAGTTTCCGTCTTCCTGCACCTTTAGCTACCAGAGCGTTCAGCTTGCAGTCCTCCGCAGCCACGACTCCGTCAGCTGACGAGTCGCAGAGTCAGAGGGGTTATTCTGAAACGATGCCGGTCAGCCGGGCTGTTCGGCTTTGTAAGCATTCACCGAACAACCCGCCTCCTCAAACACAGTAAAAACATCTGCAGCCTGGATTCATCGAAAAATGTTACAAATACAAGACAAAATCTAATAAAAACTCCCAAATAATTCGATCAGTTTGATGGACTTTAATGTGCAGATTCACATAAACGCACGTTTCTGCAGAAAGTCACCAGTTAGTAACAAACAATGTAATCTTTAACATTAGTAATATGTGAGGTACATTTAAAGACAGCTCAGCAGTTAGTGTGAAAGCAATGTTTTCGTTCTTACAGCAGCTTTGAATGATTCACAGTTCAAAATAATCCTTCTTTATCTGATCCCCCCCAGGTCATCCCATCTGAAACGGCTTTAGCTCCTCCCACTTTAAAACAGCATTGAACTGATTGGCTACATGTTGCGATCCCCTCTCTGTGACATCATACAGATCCCAGAGTACCGTATTATTAGAACCTGATCGTGTTTGATATGAACCTGAAGCATGAAGCAGGATCAGTCCACGCTTCCTTCTCAGATAGATGATATATCCTGTCTGCTTACGTCATCGTCTGGAATCCGAACAGAGCCATGAATAAATAGATAACAGCTGATGTAATAACTGATGGAAGTGCTGCTGTTTGCTCTCCAGCTTTGGCCTCTGCAGTCTGCACGTATGACTTTTTATTTGCTGGGATTGGCTTTTATTTGCGCCCTCAGGCTGTGACGCTCCCCGACAGCACAGCTGGACGCCTGAAACACTAGATCTACTGCCCCCCCCCCCCCCCCCCCCCCCCCCCGTAATGATCTGAGTCTGGATGTCATCACTTCCTGTCCCCCTCCCTGATTCTCAGAGGCCCAGCCGGCTCCTTTTAGCCTGCATTAATTAAACCAGGTCTTCTGAGCCTCTCGTCACTCGGGGCTGACCGTCGCTCTTTGTTGTCTCCTCCCCCTCAGGTGCTGGAGGCCTGGAAGAACCTGCTGGAGGCGGCGGAGGGCAGGCGGGCGAAGCTGGTCGACACCGGAGACAAGTTCCGCTTCTTCAGCATGGTGCGCGACCTGATGCTGTGGATGGAAGACGTCATCCGCCTCATCGAGGCTCAGGAGAAGCCCAGGTAGGAGGCACGGAGGGGGCGGAGCTTCCTGTAATGACTGTATCCCTTTACAGGTTTATTATAAAACTCATCCTAAATGTTTCTGAATGTTTGGGATCAGAAACGTCGCTCATGTGACGCCGTGCTTGTTTTCAGGGACGTGTCGTCCGTGGAGCTGCTGATGAACAACCACCAGGGCATCAAGGCGGAGATCGACGCCCGCAACGACAGCTTCACCGCCTGCATCGAGCTGGGCAAAGCCCTGCTGGCCAGGAAGCACTACGCTTCAGAGGAGGTGGAGACTTCTCACATTTCTCACTTGGAGCGAGCACGCCAAAGCTGCCGCGAAATCCTTCATTACTCTGTTTGTGGTGATGTCATCGCTTTACTGAAGTCATGAACTTTTGAATCTTTCCTCCTCGCAGATTAAAGAAAAGTTGCTTCAGTTGACGGACAAGAGGAAAGACATGATTGACAAGTGGGAGGACAGATGGGAGTGGCTTAGACTGGGTAAGTGCCTCCGTGCTGTTCAGTTTATAGTCCGAGGTGAGCGGGTGGATTTGGGTCTAAGGTGTGGATTTGCTTCCAGTGCTGGAGGTGCACCAGTTCTCGCGGGACGCAGGTGTGGCCGAGGCGTGGCTGCTGGGACAGGAGCCCTACCTGTCCAGCAGGGAGATGGGGCAGAGCGTGGACGAGGTGGAGAAACTCATCAAACGCCACGAGGCCTTCGAGAAGTCGGCCGCCACCTGGGAGGAACGCTTCGCTGCGCTGGAGAGGCTGACCACGGTGAGCGCGCGCCACGAGAAAGCGCCGTCACCGGATTAAATCTCAGCTCTGAAAAACGAGACGTTGACTTTGTTCTTCTGGTTCCAGATGGAGTTACTGGAAGTGAGAAGAAGGCAAGAGGAAGAAGAGAAGAAGAGACAACCGCCCGCTGAGGCCCAGCCCGCCGACGCTGCAGCTCAAAGGTAGTTTGAAGTTTCCTTTGTGTCGGAAACTTCTGGATGCTGTAAGCAGCGTTTTGACTGTGTTTAAGACTCGGCCCTATTTCCTCAGGAACAGCTTTGTGTCATCGTCAGAGTCCTTTCTCCTGTCACTTTTCACAGACACATGTACAGTTGCCATTTGTGTTATTATGACAAATATTTTAGATTATTGTTGTTACAGCTGTTAATGAATGTTTGCACCTAAACCGTGCAGCCTGCTCGCCGCGCTCACATGAAGGTTTTCAGTTTAATCGTCTAACTTCGCCAGCTGAGCGAGTTCGTCCGGACGTAGCCACTGAGGTGCGTCTAACTCTCTGCGTCGCTGTGCTTTTTGCAGGGCGGGCGAGCCGGCGTCTCAGAACGGGCTGCCGTCTGACCAGGAGTCTCCCAGGGTTAGTTACCGCTCACTCACCTACCAGAAATACAGCGGCACCCTGCAGAGCCGCAGGGGCGCCGCTGCACCCTGAGCTGCACCCACATCACACACATGTCCTCGCATCAATCTCCAGCATTCATCGTTTGCTGCTCCTTTCTGATTATTAATGTCTTATTTTAAAACGAGTTTAGCTTTCCAGGTGTAATCTTCTTCTCTGATATTTGTTTACTGACATGAGGAATCACAGCTGATGGGCTGTTTTTAAGAAAGCCTGCAGATGCAGCCTTTGCACTTCAGCATCACCTTTGAGTTTGAGACCTTTTACTTTGGTGGGTCTCTTTTAATATGAACCAAACTTCCCTGATGTTCCAGTTTGTTCAGGCTGGACAAAGACGGGAGGAAAGCAGTGTTTCTGCTCTTTCACTTTCACACACAAGAACAAACCAGAGTTTTATCCACTCCTCATTTGTCTTCCCCTCCGTCTCCTCTTCCTCTCTCTCAGCTCGACACTCCTGTCATCCTCTCCCCTCAGTTCCTTATGTTCCTGCTGGTTTATGTCATCATTTATAAACTCACCCTGTGGAATATGAATGACTGAGGATACAAACAGAAAGACACTCAGAATTAGCCTTAAAGCCACAAACTGCCACTTAAAGCATTTGTTCCATTTTCATAGAAGAGATTTTTTTCTCAAACAAAACCAAAGACAACTTAAATCAGTTTATCAATCATTAAAACTGAGGCTGATTTATCCTGATGTTAAGAAGAAGCACGTCTTACTGTTCTTGTCTTACAATAAAACCTTTAAGTTTAGTTTGATCGATAACACTTTCAATTCAGTTCAGTTTTATTTGTACAGCACCAAATCAGAACAGTCGCATCAAACCCAGAGAAAAACAATCACATGACCCGCTATGAGCGAGCACTCTGGTGACAGCGGGGAGGACAAACCCCCTTTGAACAGGAAGAAACCTTTACGTTGTCAGTCTGTACTTCACGCTCGATTCCAAACAGATGAAATGAAATATGTAACAAATACCTTAAATAACTTAATAAAAATAGACAGTTTGAAAAGATATCTTGATAAAGCAAAAAAGTCTTGAATTAAAAGTATAATAAAAATATTAATGATGTAAATTTATAACAAAGTAACTACAGTAATACAGGTTGTAGCCAGTATGAGGTGCCTTCAGCCTGTTGTTGCGATTTGCTCACTAAATATAGTAAATCATGACTCATGTTAGTTTTTGTTTGTAAGAACACGTGACGTTATATTTAAAGTCTATCATTGATGCCAAAGTTTTAAAAAATCCAAAAACAAAGAAGTGCACCTACCGCTCCACCTGTGCCTACGTCCACAGACCATTCATAAAACACGTGTCCATCCTTTTCATGTAACTCTGTTAAACACTCTATTATCTCTTTAATATTGTACTTATAAAACCATTAAAAGCATATTTGTGCATTAATGTAAGTTACACCGAATTAAAGAGCTGATCTATCAGCTGACAAAGTGGAAACTAAAGGGAAAGATGATAGTAACACATGTATAACTGCACTGTTTAACAGTGAACTCCATCAGTGGACACCAGAGGCAGCCCCGGACTTACATTTTCACCTCCAGCTTTCCTTCATGTTGTACTTACAGCCTTTACGACTCATTTGTCAGAAACCCATTCCTCATAAGGGACGTTAATACTGTGACATACACCCAGTGGCCACTTTAATAGGAACACTCGTCCAATGCCATCGGACTTTTTGAACTTGCCTTAAAATCAATCTTGTGTTCCCGCTGAGGTCATAGTTGGCGTTGTGTAGCCGCTCCGCTGTATTCGGCCCCTGAGTGTACGTCCACTGCTGCTCGCTACATGCACTCATTGCACCTACAATCCATGTTAAAATCATTCCTCATGTAAAACTGATTCGCCACACGTCTCACCGTGTGAGTTTCTCCTCATTGTATTTATTGCTGTTGTATCACTGAGACGCTGTTTCCTGTCTTGTTTTCATTGTTTACTGTTGTCGTTTCCTTTTTTCTGTTCACGGTTTGTTTTTGCATGTAGATGCAGTTCGTTCAGTCATTCCCCGACTAACACACATTCCCCAATAAACCCGTCAGAACCAACCAGTCCACGTGTTGTCCATGCATACTTTTCACTTTTCTCTCCATGTACAGTGTTGGTGTTTGTGTTGCATGCTGTCACCATCATTAGCATTTCAGTTGGATGTTCTGTTTCTGCATCTAATGTTTTTCACCAGTTTTCATCCGGGGGCTTTCCTTTAGTGAAATATTTTTAGTTATTTTACAAAGTCAAGAAAATACGGAGCCCCGCAGAGGACATGGGAGAAAAAAAAATTAAGATGGACTTTTGCGAGATCTCGCAAAACAAACTCGGGATCTCGCAAAACAAACTCGGGATCTCGCAAAACAAACTCGGGATCTCGCAAAACAAACTCGGGATCTCGCAAAACAAACTCGGGATCTCGGAAAAGTTTTAGCCGCATTCTTCGGACGCCGGCTCGAATCCGACCGGGAGGTCGAGGCACGATGTGCCGGGAAAGCGGTGTTCCTCCCGGCTGTAGTAGGTCTCGACCTCCCATTAGCTTCGAGCTAACGGGAGGTCGAAGGCCGAAGAATGCGGGATCTCGCAAAACTTTTGCGAGATCCCGCAAGAGTCAGTCTTAATTCAGTCTTAATTTTTTTTTCTCCCATGTCCCCTGCGGGGCTCCGTAGCTTCGAGCCGGCGTCCGATCCCGAGTTTGTTTTGCGAGATCTTGCAAAACTTTTGCGAGATCCCAAGTTAGTTTTGCGAGATGTCGCAAAAGGTCAGTCTTAATTTTTTTTTTTCTCCCATGTCCCCTGCGGGGCTCCGTAGCTTCGAGCCGGCGTCCGATCCCAAGTTAGTTTTGCGAGATGTCGCAAAAGGTCAGTCTTAATTTTTTTTTTCTCCCATGTCCCCTGCAGGGCTCCGTAAGAAAAAGATCAGATAAGCAAAGTGTTTGGTCCACTGACAAATCCAGTATATTTCAGTTCACTCCAATAAATCAGCGTTCCTGCTGTAAAGAAGAGAAACAGTTTGTTCTACAGCGAGTCTGGTTTTACCTGTTTGGATTTAATCTGTACAACGTCTGCACAGGCTTACAGATCTAATCCTTCAAGTTACTGAAAATTATCTTCTATGTACAAGTTTATAATTCGCTAAGAAGGTTAGTTTCTAACGACTACTATCACGCCAAAGGTTCAGGCTCAAGTTTAAATTCAATGATAACAAAATCAGCGCAGTCTTTGGAGGATCGCATGGCTGTTGGCATCGGTTTAGCTCTTCAGTCATTAAGTAATTGTTCTAAGGAAAGACTGCTAAGCAGTAAAAAATGGTCTTTGCTGTCAGGTGCAAAAATGTTTAAAAATCAAACAAAAACCTGCTTCTGCGCCAGGCTTCAATCGTTCTTCTGGAATAGTTGGTTGGATTGAAGTGGCCCAGTATTTGGTGGAGAAAACACTGAAACAGGAACACTTGGATCTGGTCTAGTCTTTAACAGGCTCAAGTAAAATTCTTAGGAAAAACTGCTGCACTACATATATGTAATAGTAGTAAGTTGGGGCCCCTACATCTGATCCAGACTGTCCTTTGGTGAGAGTTCCTAGGATTGATCCAAGTCCTAACAAATCCCTTCAATAGCTGGTCGAATGTTTGAGAAGCAGAACGCTGAAGCCGCGAGGAAACACTCAAGTAAAATCTCAGAGGATAACCCGAGCCCAGTAAAGTCTTCAAGCATCAGTTTCGCTCTCCGTGAGATCTAAATGAAAGCTCCCGGGATCGGTCCAGCTCTTCAGTTAAAGCTCCCAGGATCGGTCCAGGATCGGTCCGGCCTTCGAACCGCCCATTCGTCCATCCCTTGAAGAGCTCAGTAACGGGGTAATAAGCATCCGGTTGGAGTGGGTGTGGTGTGGAAAAAGTCAAATCTGTTTATGATACTAGGCCAATCGCCTTCTCCCCTCACCAACAATGACGCCCAGTAATGACTTCCAAGCAATTTTGTCCATAATTGTTTGAGTTTTTTTTGGTGTGTTTTTTGGTCTCACCTGTGCTGGCTTCTCCCTGTCCTCCTCTTTCTTCACGCTCGCCACCGTGTTGTGCGTTTCTGAGTGGTGTTGGGACTGTGCATGTGGTAAAGAGTGTAATCACAGCATGTTTGCAATCTTAATTAATACAAATGTTGTTCTAATCACTGCTGAAATTCAGCTCAGCTCACACCCAATAACACTGAGCTAAAAAACCGCTGCTGTACGAGGCTGACGTAGCTGATGTCAGAGGCTCGGTGGGCCAATCAGAAGCCTGCATAGTTGTGTTGGTTTGAGCAGTTCAGAGGTAGGAAAGTGGGTTTATTAACCTGATACAGGTGACCTGTTCATGTTCAGCTTTGTAGTTTTATACTTGGACCATACTAGGGTAGCTTTGCATGATCAATACTTCAAATTACTTTGGGCCACTCTCCCATTAACCCACCTTTTTTCTGGTCCAAAGATTTCTGACCTTTGGACCAGCCAGTGGGTGGGGCTTTCACTCTCTGACATCATCCAGATCCAATTGTAGAAAAAATTAGATGAGATGGTGCTCAGAGCAGTCTGCAGGGTTTTGGTTCATTACTGCTTCCTCATTAGTAGAGACGTTGGTCATGTTTAATATGAGCGCCCACCACTGGAACAGGAGATGTATGACAGGAAGTTCGAATGGATTCACTTGACCAGTTGGCTGGCCAAAGTGGTGACGACACTGGAACCTCTGAGCCTCAGGTGTTGCCGCCAGTTTTCTTGGATTAACTTGTTTTTAATTAAGTTCTTGCCAACAGACATACTGCAGACCGCAGGCATGTGGTGTTCCTGCATCGGGGCAATTAATAACAACAATCATGTGGCCTGACATGAACTGAATGTCAGTTTAAAGGCAACAGAGAGCGAGATGATTGGATCCGTCAACTCAGAGTAGATGGACCCGATGGATTCCCTCAGCTGGTTTGGTTTAGTCCACTTTAATCTGCTTGCATTTTCCCAGGATTGGTCTTCCTGGAATATTTGACATCAGTTGGGTTTTAGGAGTTTTATGTGAGGCGAGGGCAGATAAGTGTAGATTCAGGAGAGGCTGACAGTCGAATCCTTCTGGTCTCGTGTTTTAGTTTGTCCAAACTGCTCTGCATGCTGCAGCTCTCATAACTCTGATTCACAGCTCTCCTTCTTATTTCACTCATAAACGAGTTTCTCCTCTGACTCTCTCTTCTGTGTCCAGGAGAACGTGGACGGGGCCGAGGTGGTGAACGGGGTGTCGGAGCCCAGCCCCGCTGGGTCTCCGGGGGCGTCTCGCAAGGGCAAGGCCAGCCAAGCTGCGACCCTGCCGGCCAAAACCCAACCTGACGCCCCCAAACCCCTGCTGGAGACCTTCCTGCACCGCAAACACGAGTGGGAGGGGCACAACAAGAAGGCTTCGAACAGGTGGGGATCACCTGCAGACACACCTGGAAAGAAATAATAACCCAAATAATAATAAGTTGCGCTTGTGAGCTGCTGTTATTGTAAGAAAATAAAGCTCAGCGATGAGGTCGACGTCTGCTCGTGTCCCTGCAGGTCGTGGCACAATGTGTACTGTGTGATCAACCTCCAGGAGATGGGTTTCTACAAGGATCAGAAGAGCGCCAGTCAGGGCATTCCCTACCACAGCGAGATCCCCATCAGCCTGAAGGACGCCGTCTGCGAGGTGGCGCTGGACTACAAGAAGAAGAAGCACGTCTTCAAGCTGAAGTGAGTTTCAGACCTGATAAACAAGTCTTTATTTATACTGGAGCAGTCAGAAACACATCACAGACAGCTTTAAGCAAAACGCTGCAGTTCTTTCATTTAAAGAAAGAACCTGACGGATGCCAGCGTGCGCAGTTTGAAGTTCCTGCTAATGTGTGTGTTCACCTCCGCAGGCTCACTGACGGCAATGAGTATCTCTTCCAAGCCAAAGATGATGTAAGTATTAAAACACAGTATTTCAGCCTCAGTGTTTGGTGCGTCGTTCAGTTTTAGTCAACATCGCTGTTATTGTTAGTCTTATATCTGCTTTACATTAGAAATATGTCGATCATTTATTTGTTTGGATTGGAAATACAATCCAACTTTATTCATGGAGCACTTTAAAAACAACATGACCAAAGTGCTTTCCAGTAGAAAACAGATCAAAGTTAAAAACTGTACATTAACCAGACAAACAAAGTTAAATAACAATGAAATGCATCAATGGAAAAAAAGATATCAGTAAATGTTAAAACTGGTGCTGTCAGCGTTAATCTCATTAAAATAGTGTTAATGCGGATCGCCCGAGAGTGGGACTGCACGCCGTCAATGCGTTAGCACGGTTAGCTCGCTTAGCTTGTTAATGCGTTAGCGCCGGAGATTTGCCGCGTTAATTCTGGTTGTGCTTACTGACCTCGAACCGATTTTGGCTGCAGAAATCTGTTAAAAATGTTTTAGTACAACTTTAGTAAGCAGCACTGCTTGATGGATTGTCAGAGCATTACGGCTGCCGTAGGGAGGAGCTTCGCGGAGCAATCTGGGTCCAAAACTCCGTCCGCTTCAGGTCCCAAAGTCAAACGAACACTAAGAGTTAAAAACGGTCTAAATTCTTTCATCTTTAATAAAATCATCAGCGTTGCTGCTTTACCAGGTGTAACTATTAAGTTTAACATCCATGAAAACAGGATTTATTAAATTTAATGGAGTTAGAAGTTAACAGGAAGTTAGCTCGCTAGTTTACACCTAAACATTTCATAGCATGTTCTGACTGAGAGATTTTTGAAACTAATTCAAACGTACAGCTCTGCTACCACTTCCAACATAAATGAAGACAGGAAACTAAACAGCAGTGACGTTTGCAGGGTTATTGAAGTTGGACTACCTGGTATATAATGTTGTGCTACGTGATTGCTAGCGACACAGCTATGTTAGCATAACATTAGCACAGTGAAGCTGGAGGATGAAGCCAACTTTTTTCCACTCGATAAAAGTTAACGTGACGGATTCTGGTGGTTTGGGACAAATGCAATCGCATAGCAGGATGCTGTACACGGGCCAAACTTCAGTCAGGAGAACAA